TATGTTAGCATTACATATGATTGAAAAGCTTTTCCGAAATAAGTTTATTTAAGACATCTGACTGAAAAGCTTGCTTACAAAGATTAAAAGCACATGAAAACAAAACATGAGCAACAGTTGGAAAATATAACATACAAGAAGATTCTCGCCACAAATCCTCATTAACATGGAGTTGATTGTGACTCAGAGCAACCTGTAGGACAGAGTAGAGGTGTTCCTGTGGGTTCCTGAGGCTCCAAATCTTTACAGGAGCAAAAACCCACATCATTCTCTTCTGAGTGGTGGTGGTGTTGACCTTGCAATTAGCAGTCTGACACATAATCCACTATACCACCCGTGCTCCTTACAAGGTTAGCACCCACGAACTTGAGATATTAGAATATCTAGAAGGATTACAAATGACTGAGAATGATCAGAGGCAGGGTGAGAAACCATAGTGAAAGGAAACGTCACTATTGAAAAAATAACAGGCTTTAAAAATATGTGATGAAAACTGATGGACTGAAAATTCGAACAGAAAATTAGAGGCCAGCAAATCCGAATGGAGGAAATGATCTAGGAGGTTCTACAAGAAATGAAGACATGGAAAATATGAGAGACTCTGAGACACAGGATATGGTACATCAGACATAAAAGAAGAGCATCAAAGAACATTTTACAGGCGACCAGGGAGAAATGAGACTCTCAGAAAGGGAATTAAATTTATCAACAGTAATAATAAAAGGCTAGAAACACCTTGAGCTACCAATCTAGGAGGCTTCCCTGGTGGCACCAATGGTTAACATGCTCAGCTGCTAACCAGAAGGTTGGAGGTTGGAGTGAACTCAAAGGTACTTCAACAGTAATGCCTGGTGATCTCCTTATGAAAAACCCGGCATTGAAAACCCTGTGAAGCGCCGTGCAAGCAAGTGCTGGATGCCATGAGGGCGAACTGATCTGATGGAAACCTGCTTTGTTGGGAAGCCATGGTGGTTCGGTGGTAGATTGCTCCTCCCCTCTTATGCAGGCCCAGGTTGGATTCCAGCCCAATGCACCTCATGTCCAGCTTCCACTTGTCAGTTGAGGGTTGCGTATTGCGATGAGCAGACCTGGTGGGGCAGTGTTTAAGTGGCTCAACACCCGCCCCTGCCCCCACCCTCCAACCCGCTTCATGGAACAAGTGACAGTCTGCTTCTGTCATGGTGCATAGTCTTTGACATCTCCCATAGGGCAGTTATCTTCTGCCCTACTCTGCCAGAATCAACTTGACAAGATATTACCCCCCCCCCTTTTAATGATCCTGAATTGGTTTCAGCAGTGCTTCCAGATGCTGGTGGGCTAGGAAGACAGACTTCGTGGCCTACTTCTGAAAACCAGCCAATGAGAATGCTATGGATTAAAATGGCCCAGGCAAGTGGACGGTGCAGGCCAAGGCAGCATTTTGTTCTGTTGTGCATCGAGTTGCCAGGAGTTGCAGGGCAACTTGCTGGTATAGATATTCATCAAAATGTACTGCTAAATGTTCGTGTCACAAAAGACCAAACCACAGAACTTTACAGAAAAGTCTCATTTTCACAGCTCAAAAAGGAAAGTTCTTGAAAATTATTGACCTTTGAAGAGGGAACATCTGAAACTGTGGGGCAGTGTGACCTTTATAAGCCTCTCAGGGCTTAATCCCTGAAGATTTTAGGCTGATAAATACTGTAGTTAGACTAATTACAGGTTGTTTTACAGAGAAAACAACCATGTTTTTTAACCATTTATTTGAGAACAGATCAATTTATGCTTTTACTGAGATTTTTAAAAAGGGATGACTCATTAAAAATTTTCAAAGAAAAAGATTGCAGATAATATACACTGCACCTATTAGCAAAATGCTCTTTAGATCAAGTGTCAGGATTTTCACACTTTAGTACAAATTGAGGCACTAGGATGATGAGATTGTAGGGCATTGTCTCTTCTCTAGATTGAGGTTTTTCAATGAGGGGAGAAAAGCAAGAAAAGAAAATGATTACAAACAAGGAAAGAAAAAAACAGAGGTTCCTGTATTCAGAAATCCAGGTTCCTGAAATCCAGACTTAAAGGCTGCTGAACTATTTGTATTTCTTTTAGGAATGTTCAGCCAGAGGCCTAAAATAAGAGGTTATTTCGGCAGTCAACAATATATTCTGTACATGATAAATAATTCAAGCTCTTGACATGTCCATCATCATAATAATATAAGGACCCAGACCCTATGGCCTAAAGCTATTTTGGTGGAGTACAAGTGGGAGCACATGAGGACTGATGTGTCTGTGTAAGGTGATCGACTTCATGTCCCATGTGGGACAAGAGATACATAAAAACAAAGTGTGGTAGTTACATAATGTTTTCAATTTGAGATTTTAGGAGTGAAGGGGTGGAGTTTAGCCTGTCAGTCAGGTCGGAGCTTGATGACCTCATTTGGAGGCACTAAGGAGATAAATAGCTTGCTGGAGACGGGCCACATGCTCACTCCCTGAGAGACATTCCAGCTGAGAAGATGCATGGAGCTATGCTAGTGTCCTGAGCTGAAGGAGCCACATAGAGACCACTGCCAGTGCTGGATCCATTGCTGGATCCACAGACTTTGCGCCCGCTGGGCTGTTATCTTCCGGCATTCGGTGTCATTGCATGTGTTCTGTGAGTCTGAAGAGGACTTTATAGCTTGATATCGGACACATGGGCTAATCTCGGACTTCTGGACTTCTGGACTGGGCTGGGATGTTTTCTTAATATTCAATTGCTCTTGCATGTAAAGCTCTTTTGTATATACACATGAGTCTCCCAGGTTTTGTTTCTCCAGTGTACCCATGCTAACACATTATGGTGCCAGGAGTGGCATTCTAGAGAAACAAACCATAAAGATGGAGAGTGGAGGTTTGTTTGACCTCTCCCTCCTGGTAGTGCTTCTTCTTTGTCTGGCCAGAGGTCAGATATGTCCATGCAGTTCACTGGGTTATTTTCTGGAAAGAATATGGGAAGTTAAAGCTTTGAATATTTTGTTTGGTTGTTATCTTTGGTTATTCCTGTGTGAAGTGGCAAAAGTGAATGTGATCCATCTATATTTTGAGCTCAGAGGATAAAATTGTCCTTTGAATTTCTCAGAGCTGCTTAGGGGAAATGGCTGACTGAAGGTCAAAATGGCTGACAGAAAGCCTGGCTCTGGCTTGATGCTGTCAGAGGCCTAATCCCATACTTTGTATCAATAAAATAGTTTAGATCAGTATTAATATAAGCTACATAAGGATTGAACTTGACTGTTTTAAGAATTGAGTTTAGTATCTGATTCTACTTTGTTTACACTGATTTCTTCTGCTTATTATTGTTGACATAGGATTTATAGAAATGATTATTGGGAAGTATGAAAACAGAGAGATTGTAAGCCCACTTGTCTTGAGCCATTACAATTTGAATCTTCAATGGGTTTTGGAGACTTCTGCAAAGGCAGCTCTGAAAAAATAATCCCCACCCAGTGCTTTGGAATACTTAGGACATTTGCATTCCAAGAAACTTCCCTAGGGGTCTGTTGACAGATTGGAGAAAAAGGAACTTTGGCTTTTTGCGTCTTGAATTAGTGATCTTTGTCAGAGGGTGGGAAAAATCTGAATCCATGAAGAAAACGGCTCTCTGGGACTGAATGTTAAAGGGAGCCTGTGAGCAGGCTGAAATGCTTGCTAGGTGACCACCTGGATCCACTTGTTGAGTGGAAGTGAGAGATATGCAGCAATAAAGAGATGTGTTCAATCAGGCCACTGACACCCGTGGAGCTGGTTTACAGGAACTAGGGAAGATGAGAGCAGGTTGACTGAAGTTCATGACCTAGCCCAAGGGGGCTAGACTTGTTGAGAATTTGTGACCAGCCTGTGGTCTAAAGGCAAGGTGACCAATGGACACCCTGGTGAGGCTAAGTGAGGCAGCCCACGGTGAGTTGACCAGCACCTGAGCAGATGAAGATATTTGAGTCTGTGAATTGGTACATATTGCTGCAGACTTTATGGATGACCTGTCCCTATTTGACTTTGCTTATGGATGCAGACTTGGCATGGTTCCAACTGGAATGAAGATTTTTCACATCAAAATATGATTGTCTCCTCAGAGCACTGGGTTGATGTAAGTGGGCAGTATAGAAATTGGATACCCAAAATGGGGTGGATAAAGGCATGAAGCGGCTCGCTTACAAACTTTTATAGGTGGGGGAATATAGTCACCGGATTATAGGGTTAAAGTATAGATGTTACTTAACTGCAATATATAAGTATAGGTTCTATTTGTTTTGTTCACTTATAGAATGTTATGCTTAAATGAGGGTGGCATATATTGAATTGTATGCATTTTAGTTTTATCCTGTTAGGTACACATATGGTTTTATTATTGTTCGTTTGAAAATTATATGTGACTGAAGAGTTGTGTGAAAGTGTCAAATTGACAAGGGGTGGTCTGTGGTAGTTACATAATCTTTTGTCAATTTGAGACTTAAGAGTGAAGAGGTAGAGTTTAGCCTGTCAATCAGGCCACAGCTTGATGACCTCATTTGGAGGTGCTAAAGAGATAAATAGCTCACTGGAGGCGGGACACATGCTCATTCCCTGGGAGATATTTCAGCTGAGAAAACGCATGCAGCTATGCTAGTGCTGAGCTAGAGGAGCCCCACAGACACTCCTGCCAGCACTGAGATGGTTACACTGCCACTGGATCCACAAGACTTTCCACCCACTAGCCTGTGATCTTCCTGCATTCGGCGTCATTTCATGTGTTTCGTGAGTCTGAAGAGGATGCCATAGATTGGTATCGGACATATACGCTAATATCGGGCTTAAGGACTGAATCTGGACTGGGCTGGGACATTTTTTCAATATTCAATTGCTCTTATATATAAAGCTCTTTCTTATACACGTAGGAGTCTCCCTGGATTGACTGTCTAGTCTAACACACAATCACACAAAAATATCCAAACCTCGCATGGCGTGCCAAAAAAAAATAAAATAAAACCAAAACACAGCAGTTTTTAATGGCTCTATTTATTAATACATAGATCACAAATGTCCACAATATCAAGGCATTCTTGTTTGCATGCTAGACAGAGGCATTGTTTTTGAAAGTTCCTTTGAAAATATTCTGACTTTTGTTTTCCCTTCACACTCATTCTTAATTTTGATTTGATGAGGCCCTCCAGGTCTGTGATGTCAATGCAAGAAAGTACGGAAGAGAGAATTTAAAAAACAAAGGTCTTTTCACAGGAAGCAACAGCACACCGTGGTAGTAAGAGGAATATACAGGTTTCAACTGTGAATCCAGGGGCTGCTACAATGTCTCCACCTACCCAGATCTACGACGATGAGTCAGGAGGCCACCTAAACTCAACATCAATATCCCTCATGCATGACACTCGCTTTTGTCCCCATCAAATGATAATAACCAATGTGTTTCTCTCCAAGACCTGGGCCGTCTGAAGAAAGTACGAAAGAGCATTAGTAAAGGGAAAACCAAATGAAATGCAATTAAGTCAAGAGAACAGATCCTTATCCTCTGTTTAACTACAGGAAGGTACATTTATTGATCATGGTAAAGGGTAAACAGGAGCCTCCCACACTACATGCAGGGCCAATGGGGCCAGTGATGGAGTGGTAACCGGTCACCTACACTGCACTGCTGTTGGATCCAATATAAGTGGAGGAATTGGCTGACACATACAGAGCCTTAGGGGGGGTGGGGAGTTGGGGTCCACTAAAGACTAGCTGCAGAGGGGCCTGGTTACACTCTGGCACAACAGGGCTTCATAAACTGGAACACTACACATAATTTGGGGTGAAAGGTGGTGCAGAGACTGTGAGGGAGGATTGGTTGCACACTGAGGGTAAAGTGGAGGCTGGGGATAAAGGTGGGGGGTAGGGGTGTCAGGGTTATCTATTTTGCTCTAAAAATTCTTTGGAAGTCTTTCAAAACATTGCTGTAGTTCTTTTATAAACAGGCCTCTGAGTTCGTTGTTCTTGAAAGACTGAGGAAAGAAATTAAAACAAGTGAGTGATTCGACATTATAAGGACTTAGAAAAGGGTAGCAAGATAAAAAGAGTATTTAAACAGTTTTACACAATAGCAATTGTCAGACCCCCTCCCCAGTACCACACACACACACAAAATAAGATTCTGTCTTGGGGACGAGGGCCACTCAGATCAGTTACATAAGTGACCAGGCAGGACTCCTGTCTATTTGAAGTAGAGTCTCTCATAAGAAGTTCTGGGTGGCACAAAGGGTTAGGCGTTCACCTAAGAGTTGAAAGATGGTGGCTTGAATCGACCCAGCAGTGCCTTGGAAAACAGACGTGCTGATCTGCTTCCATGAAGTTACGACCATGAAAACCCCAAGGCACAGCTCCACTCAGGATACATGGGTGGGTGGGCAGCCAGTGGTTGGAACGGACTCAATGGCAGCAATTCAAGCCTCCTCATTGCCACTTACCTTCCTTCCCCTTACACCATCTCATACTGATTTGCCGTGATGAATCGAGACAAACAGCAGGCCAGCAGCATGCCAATCAACTGTTGTCAGGAAGACAAATGAAAATGTGAATCTCAAGGCATTAAATGACACCTTTCTTGGACATCCCGCCCCTTGCACAGATGCAGTGTTTGACAGTCAAGAGCTTCTGTTTGTGAGTGAAAAAGGTGCGCCAGAGAAACTGATCAGACCTGGTTTCCACTGTACGATAGATCAAACCTTGGGAGTGGAACCGTGAGTGTAGGGCCAACTGGAGACTAGGCAACTTGCCACGGAGCGCCAGCTTTAGCTCACCCCGTCTATTGGAAACCAACTTTGGCCACTTAAGTAGTGCTAACATTGACTTATAGGAGAGCAGTTTTATTTTTTTATTTTTATTTTTTTTAAGTAACAAAAAACTACTGGGTGTCAACTAAAGAGTCAAACTGTAACTCAGAATTGTAAGCACATGCACTCAAAAGATATCTCAGCATCGTTGGATGCTGAGAAATCCATCTGTCCCTACCTAACAGCAAATTGGTTCTTGCCTTGCGGTAAGACATTATTCATGACCAGTTAAGGCTGTCATTTATGTAAGAAAGTCTTGGCTTCTGAGAACTAAGAGGGAAAGGCAAGAAAAGAAAGAGAGAAGTGGCACTTTGATTAGTTTCTCATTATCTCTAAATAATGTAGATATTTTAGACCCAGATAAGCCCATCTCCTAGGTTTTCAGGAGCCCCACATCAGCAAGTCACAGAATACTGACCCCAGTCCTTGGCCTGCCTTGGTACCCTGATTTGAATCTTAAGTGACTCTTAAACAATTCTTATTCTGCTTATTAGAAACGAAAGCTCCGATTCATGAATCTGGAGGGCACTTGAGCCTAAAACCCTGCAGCTTCTCTTGGCCTGCAGTCCCCTCTCCCTGTGCAACTGGGGACATGTTTTATTGGATCAGAGGTAGGAATGATCTTTAGAGAGAATTTCTCCAAGTGTGGGTTCAGGATCACAGGCACTAGCATCACGTGATACCTTTTTAGAAATGCAAATTCACAGGACCCCACTGGAGACCTGCTGGATCAGAAATGCCAGGGGTGGGGTGCCAAGGGGTTGGGACCCAGCAATTGATGCTTTAACAGATTTCAGCTCCTGTTTACATGGCAATTCTTCCATGTTCTGCTCATCTTGTTCACCAAGTTACCTTTATCTTCCTGATGAAACACTTGGGATCACTCTGGGTCCCTCTGCTGGTCAGTGCAAGACAACCTCTGTCTTAGCTCCTGGCCCATTAGATTCCTGTCTAGTTGGGTCCCTTTCTTGATGAAACCCCTAATTCTCACTTTCCTTTGAAAAACTAAAATTAGGCTATGAGTTCGGTAAGGTGACTGTTTTTCCATACCTAAAAGGTTACAGTTAAAGTTCATAGCCCAATTTTACGGAACCACAGCTCTAACCTGTAGAATACTGTGCCAGATGAGAAACAGAAATCTCCTCAGTGAGGCAAGGACATTGGGCCGTACAGCACGTCCCCTTTTGACAAGAATTTTCTAATGACATGAGAACCCATTTTATACTCTCAAAATCAGAGTTCCGTCAAAAATCAAGTACAAGAAGGAGGACTTTCACTTATATCACACTGTTTAACCCTTATGATATCACTATGTGGCATTACACCAATTTGCCAAATAAAATGGGTTAGGGGAGGTTAAAGAGCTTCCCCCAAACCAGGCACGTAACCCACAGAGTGCTAAAGGTTATACCCACCGAATCCACTATCCAAGAATAGCCACTTGGCTCCCTTCCATCCTTACGGTGATCCTAGGTCCTTCCCCTTTCTAGAATCATCCTGTTCTACATCAGTTGTTCCTTCTGGCCTTTGAATTGCAACCTTAAGGCAACTGGAGGCTATTTTTATTTACTTTTCAAGTTCCTTGACTATCCTTCCTTTCTTCCTAAGGCTTGTTACTTTGCTTTCTTCTCATTGACGTAAGGTGTTTTCAGCACTTAAATCAGCCACTATTCCACTTCATGGTTGACAAGGTTCCTACATTTAGTGCTCGTCTCCATGGCATGTCAGGAGTCACACAGCCAAAAGTCTTTAGAACACGCGTGTATTTATATTGAAGTTCTCTACTTCCAAGGAAACAGCCATGATAGTTTCATGAATCACTCTTAAGTACTTCACCTGCAAACTTTCTCACGGATATAACTTAAAACCTTTTTTTTAAGTTAAAGAACAAGGGTATTTGGTTTGAAACTTATATTTTGTATTTCCAAGGTCTAATATGCCTGTTTTTTGCTACCCATAGGAGTTTTCTGTAAATTATTTTTTAAGCCTCAAGAGTTGTTTTTCTAAAAAAAAATATTCAAAATGGAAGTACATATAAGCTACATGAAAACAGTATTTTACATAATTTAGCTTTTATTTTAGATAAATCTAGTGGAAAAAAACCCCCAAGGATTTAGGATATGGCAGATGTTCTGAATTATTCACAGGGTTACTAATCTCAAATTTGCTATCAAATTTTTCTTCATAGTTGAGAGAGAACTTTGATCTCTCATTTTCATACCTACCATGTTGAGAGAAAGGGCGAGGGGGGGAAATCATCCCATACTTAGTACAAATTATTACCAGATTATGACTAGTCACATAATCAGACAGTCTGTTCTGTTTAAAATGAAGCTTCTTCTTGGGCCTGTATCAGGACACATAGATTGCGTGCCATGAGACCTAATTAATTTGTAGACAGGACAATCTGGCCCCATTTAAGCAAAACCCTCCTTCGGTTCAATGTAGAGCCCCAGTGGTGCAGTGGTTAAGTGCTCAGCTGCTAACTAAAAGGTTGGTAAAATGAATCTACCACCTGCTCGGGGGGCAGAAAGAGCTGCATCTGCTCCAGGAAAGCTTTCCAGGCTTGGAAACCCTATGGGGCAGTTCCAAATGGACAGGAAGGCCGCACACAATAGCCCCATACCTGGAAAGATGTGATGTTAATGATCCAAGAGAGAAACAAAAGAAAACATCCTTTCTTGACCATCTCTTATAAGGGCTATCAAAAGCTTTGTCCTGTCCTCAACATAAAAAGGTCAATACATCACTGTAAGGCCACCACAAAAACTGCTGGCCTCTAACTTTTTATTCTAACAAGCTGTGGACCCTGGGGAGGCCACATAGGGGATGAGGTAGGAGTTAAACCTAAACGTTTAGAAGATACCTTTTTTCTGTTTATTCCACTGACCCTTTATAATAAAAACCCCAAAGAGTTTCCATCAGGTACTATCTGAAGCAGGGGCAAGGGTACTTGTTAGACCCGCTGCCTAGATGTTTAACATAGCAGACCAAGTAGGGCAGTAAGAATTGGAATCCTGGTTCTACAGTATCTGGCCAGCCTCAATTAAGACAATTCTCTGTCCCCTCCTGGAAACAGTTCTATGGCCCCATGTAGGACGGTAACATTTTGTGATGTTTAGGATGAATCCAGCCCAACAGGCTCCAAGTCTAGTAAAGCTCTCTGGGTCTGTTTACACTGGGTATACAAGTGCTAAATACAGAGGCCCAGGACTGTGTCTGCCCACCGCCCACCAGCCCATCCCCACCCGCCCGACAGCAGAAGGTTGAATCTAGACAGGAAGCAGCACAAGAGTCCAGGCACTCACCAAAATCATCTGTGAGTGCTGTGCTTCTTTAAAAAAATTCCTTCATGACCAAATGGTCAACCAAAAACAAAGCCAAACTCTCCACCCTCAAGCCAATGTCAACTCATAGCAACCCTATAAACAATAGGGCAAGGGACAATTGCTTCTGTAGTTTCCATGGTTTTCTCTCCGAGACCGGCGATTTTGAACTCCTGACTTGGCGTTTAAGCAGGCCAACGTGTAACCTAGGGCTCCTCAAATGACAAGTTAAGAAAGCAAGGGAGCAGAAAAACTAGATTCCTGGAAACGGAACAGCCAGCACAGAAATAACAAGAGTTGACACAGTTTGAAAAATATAGCCAATGTCACTGATCAGATTGTGAGAGCCTAATTTGCTAGGTAAATGTCCACCAAAATTCTGTATTGAGAACCTAACTTGCCTAGGTAAATGTTCACCAAAATGTTGTAACATATATGCATATATATTACAGAATTTGCATGTGTGTGTACATGCATGCACACATGTAATTTTATTTATTTTTAGAAAAAGGAAAAAGAGCCCAGACCTAACACCTGTGGCCCCTGGTTTCCAGACCATGAATGGGTGTGTGTGTGTGTGTGTGTACACAGGGGCATATGCACTCCATACCCACTGTCTCAGTACTCTGAGTGAAAGACTAGCTGCCACAGGTGCAGGGCTCTATCAAAGACAACTCAACCTTTTGCTATAGATTTATAGGCCAGCAGGCTGGCCCATTAACTACAGACAAATGGGCTTTTTCTTAAGAAGGTAAAAGTAACTTGAATTTGTACAGAGAAGTATAAAATGCTTGACAGAGTCCAGAAACAGAACTCAAATGATTTAAATTAGCTTAGGGGACAAAAGTTTTTATATAGTCTCTTAAAAGGCTAGACACAGCTCCATTTTCCTTGTGCTCTGTACCACACCTTTTCATCTCGGAGCCAGTTTTATCCAACAGATGATTGCATGGAAAAGAGCAAGGAGAAGGAAAGGAGAAGAAAAAGGGCCTGGCCCTCTGCTGTCTACCTCAGGAGGGCCTTCTGCTTTATTATGGGAAGACCAAGGCTCCTCCTCTGCAGAGGCCAACACAAGTAAGATGAACATTTGCCAAGTTTCACCATGAGGCTGCTTCTAACCCTGTGGCTTCTGGTCACTGACTGGCATCTGTAGGGCTGGTTTTTCATGAAGTGGTACCTGGTGAGTGGCCACTGGCTCCACCACTGTCTACACCATAAACAGTCTGACAACATGAACAGCAGCAGTTCCTAGCATCGGGTCATTCTGCCTCCTGCCTCATGGCAGCAGGGTCCTGTGGGTGAAGGGGACTGGTTGTGCGATGCCAGTGGGCATTGTGTTTTCTTAACCCAACATCTACGCAGCACCTCGAGGAGAAGTTAACTTGCTATAGACTTTCTGTTTGGGGGCCAAAGGCCCTCTTTTTTCACTGCCTCGGGAGGCAACACAGCTCGCTTTGAATCAGGGATTTCTTCAGGTTGATTACTGTTTATTTGGCCAGATAACCAAGTGGGGAAGGAACTGCTCTGAGCATAAATTACCTGATAGGGAGAGGGAGAGAAGTGGGGAAAGTATGCATCAGAGTGGTATGAAGGACTTGAAGAATGGTTCACTTGACTCAAGTCATCTCATTAATGAAAATAAGATTCCCTCCTCAGAGATCTACAACTCCGCTCCACCACCCGCCCCCGGCCCCCAATCACGGCCGTCTGAGAATATTGTTAGATAAGGGTTTCCATCCCTGGTACTCCAAGCTCTTTGAGACTCTCTACTCCACGTGTCCAGTCTTCGCATCACAATCCCGTGTACAGTTCTAAGATAATCATCGAGAGACTTCAGTTAATACGCCTTCCCTTCAGGGGGACAGCCCCCTCCAGATGCCATACACAACATCTCAACACTGTCTGGACTAAGGAGCTGACGTGACAGAGAGATGTTAGCACACCTGGATTTTCAAGGCTGTCAAGTGCATCCTGAGCATTTGCAGCAGTCACAAGGTTTGAGAGGTAAGAGGTTCTTACCCCGTCCCCCCCATCATTACAATGATTCGCCTGAAGTGTAATGACTGAAATATTATAGCCACTGGAATAAAGTTCATGGCGACAATTGCTTTGGAAATGTCTCTGGGGCCTTGGTTATTTGGCATTGTGTGTGACACTTGTGGGTGTGCTGGTGTGTTCCACGGTTTTATTCCTGTCATAAGTTGCTGAAAAGGGAACCATGAGGAAAAACCATTTTGACGTTGAGCCAGAAACAGCAACCCCACCCCCCAACCCGCCCATGCTGGCCCTGCCCTTAATGCTCTTGTGAGGTGAAAAATTGTACAAACGTTTCTACGAGCCATGGGAAGAAAAACAGCTCTACTGTTCGAAGACCCTCGAGAAGATGGACTGATGCAGGGGATGCATCGATGGGCTCAAACATCAGAACAATTGTGAGGAAGGCACAAAAGACCAGGCTGTGTTTCACTCTGTTTGTAACACAGGGTTGCTATGAGTCAGAACCGACTCAATGCCACCTTCCAACAACAGTAAGACTTTACTTGTAAAGCGAAACTTCCAGGCTAATGTTCAATTCCTTGATGGTTACACAGGTACAGTTAGTTCGCGAGAACGTATTAAGCCCTGTATAATGTGCCACACTTAAACAATACATGCCAATCTTTCCACCAATAGCAGTATTATGGCAATATTTATAATTTGGCAAGGAGAGGCCAAGGTCTGTTTAAGAGCTTGAGTGTACTACCGGGTGGAGGGAAGCTACATTCTAGATGGGTTTAATCTTGTTCCATCCTTGAGTATTTGTGGCTCATTTAATTTGCCCAATTACCTCTCCTGTTGTTTTTCTTCAGGCTGGGTGAGTGTGTGTAAAGTGACATAAAATTCAATAAACAAAAAGTTCCATTTCCTTTCAAGAAAGATAATAGTCCAACCTCATGGTTCAAATAAGGGCTGCAAAAATGAAATTTGCTGAATTTAGGCTGCCGTTAACATTGAAATCACTTAGGCACAAATCCATAGGCACTTAGACTTCAAAACTGGGCAGGGCAAGCTGGAAAAGAAGCCGACCACCCATCCAAATCCAGATGAGCCATTTGATGTGTGGAGTTGTTGTTTATGCTCCAATTAAGGCAGCACTTTGTTCAGTTAACCTCCATTTGACCTACAGAAGAAACAAGTTGTTTTTCTGGAGCTAGTCATTAGTTTAACTGCAACTGATATTCCCTTGATGGCAAAACTTCATTTAGGTTGAAAAAGGAAAATCAATAAACAGATGACCTGAGGACTAACGAGCAAGGCACTCTGACCCCATCTCTCAGCCTCTCCCAAGGCACAGGCCGACGAGCTGGAACCCAGAGAGCAGCAACAGGAGAGCAGACAGCAACAGGATAGACCAGGTGACCCACAATAGCGGAAGGTACCTGGGAAAATGCAATCCCAAAAGCTACTCCAGCGATGATTCCCATATTAATCTCCATGAAGCTGGTCACCAGATCATAACATCCCTGGAAACAGAGAGAGATGGTCTCTTGAGACACATTTAACCCAGGCCAGACTAGGCTATAGTCACCTAATAAGCTCTCACGTGCTGTTATTGTTGTGAACACCCATTCAGTGGACTCCCAAATTAACCCCCATGCACAATGGAACAAAAAGCTGCCTAGTCTCATGTTAACCCCATGATCTGTGGCAGGGTCATATGCTTTATGACCCATAGTGGATGTTACACACGAGGCCTTTCTGTCGAGTCCCTCTTTGTCGGGCAGCTCCAGTGAGACCTGCTCAGCACCATGGGAGCCACCACTGGCAGATGGGTAGTGGCTAAGCACTAGGTGCACTGGCTTGTCCCATAGCACCACCAGGCTTCTGATATCACTTAATAGTAAACCATCAGGCTATTTTTCACAAGGCAGCAGAAAGGGAGAGGAGGAATCATAGTGGGAAGACAGGTGGCTATTCTCACACCTTCCCCAGTGGTAACAGGCAAGATGGCATTTTGCTGTGCTCGCCCAAATTCGTGTTTTTTCTCCTCACAATGGTGGTAGGATAGAGGACTGAAGTTCAGAGCAGCATCAGATTTAGGTCAGCTTAAAATACGAAAACATTACCCTGATGGGAGAAACCAGAGAGTTGACGACAGTCATTTTCTCCCTCTGCAAAGGAGTTTAATAGAGATTTCTTTCCATCATTAACAAACTCACTGCTCGTGAAGGTTCCTATCTAATCTATCTAGTGCTGTTGTCACTTTGATCCCCTATATACAGTTCTTTAAAAAGCAGAATGTTGAAGGTAGACACTTTTACAAGGTAAATTATTGCTTGGTTTTAAGTAAACTCTAGGGATACTTGCAGTTTAAGGTTTAAAAATGATCTCAGGGGTTCATGGTCCTTGGGGTCCATGAGAATTTGAAATTCTGTTTTGCAGTCTCCCTTATTGATCGGGATCCTCCCACACGTTATCCTTGCCAAAATCTTTCTCTTTTGTTTATAAATCTTAGCAGTCCTAGTGGACATGAAATGGTATCTGATTGCATGGCTTTTTGTCCCCACACCCCAGGCCCCCATTTCTCTGAGAGTTAATGAGTTGGAGCATCTGTTCATGTGTTTGGCGGCTCTTTAAACGCCCTCTTTGGTGAAATATCTATTCCAGTCCTTTGTCCACTTTATAAGTTATTGTATTTTGGCTGTTGTCAAAGTTATATATGTAATTAGATTTTTGTTAGCTATGTGGTTCCTGAAAACATTCTCCTAGTTGGTAGCTTGTCTTTTCCCTCTTTTAATATAAGTCTTTTGATGAATAAACATTTAATATTTTAATGAAGTTTCATTTATTTATTTAGTCTTTGACTGTGTTTGCTTTGGGTACTAACCAGTCCATTGCTAAAAGCTAGGCCCGACAGTGTTGCCCCTGCTTCTTCTAAGAGTTTTATGGTTTGAATTTTAAGAACATATTTAGCCTCTTACTCCACCATTTTGAATTTGCTTTTCGATATGGTGTGAGAAATAGATCCGGTTTCATTTTTCGGCCTGTGAAAGTTCACTAAGTTGAGGTCTTATCTGGCTGCAACTACTCCGTCAATATACTAAAATGAAAGTGACCGTGTGGCAAGGGACAAGATACATTTACAGAAATCTGCTGCTCACCCTTCTCAGTATGTCAAAATCTACCCAAAGGGCAATGGGAAATACTTGCAAGTGACAGGTTCTCCATAGTAGGAGACAGCTGACCCCAGACTGGTTCTATAAAGAGTGCTTTGGTAGTTGCCAACCAGAGTGCTCTGCTCTTACACAAGTTCAAGTAGTCCCTATGGGACTAGAAGTTTGGACAATGCTACTAAACCAATTGAACCAGCAGCTATATCAGTATAGTGCTAATGAAAGTAAAATAATACCTACCCTCCTGAAAACAATAGATATCCTGTTGAACTATCTCCACCTCCTTCCTGCTCTCTTCTAGCAGCTATCTGCATAAGGGAGATTTCTCAGCTTCCCAAGTAAGAGTCAAGAGTCATCTCTCTGGGCTATCAGAGTGTAGGACAGGTGACATCAAAAGAACTACAGAGATATCTGTTTGTTGTAAATAATAGGATTCGATCTACTCTAAGCATGTGGTGCTAGGTAAGCTTCCTGGGAAAGGCAGAAGAGGTAGGAGGATTAACTTTTCCAGGCATCTACTACTACCCAGCTCTACCCCAGACTCATAGCCCATCTGGTATACACAATTTGCCTGAGACTCAGGCAGGAGAAATAATTTGTCTCAGGACTCATGTGGACTTTAAATTAGGATGTACTATGACAGGATAAGGGGAGTAAGAGGCATGCGAGGCCCCTTTTTTTCTCAGGTATTTGAGGTGTCCAGGAAAATGTACCATAGGACTGAGTGGGGGAAGGAAGACGCAGAGAGTGAGCTGAGCTTATCATTTAGCAATGAAATGAAAAACAAACAAACAAACAAACCCGCTACCCTATCTTTTGGAAAACAATTTGGGGATAGGCCTTCAAATTCACTTTCAGGACCCAACGAAAGACATTACAAAGACCTGCTGCATCATTTGTAAGGAAAGACATGGTGTGGCGCAGTGGAAGACAGAGCTCACACCACCACCACGATTTTATCTTAGTAAGGAAAGAGCATTTATCCCATGGCTACACAACCAAAGGCAAACTCACTAGGTACCCACCCCCCAGTCTTTAACAAGACATTGTTTATTTTTATCTGGCATTTCTCTAAAAGTTTCAGACCACAGATGGCCTTCACACCAGCTCGATCATGTCTTCATCATGTTTTCTGTAGAGTGGACTGCAGAATTGATTTTCTTCTTTTTCATCTTCCTCATTTCAGCTCTAGGCTAACTTTTAAATGGCACCTAACCATCTCTTCTTTCTCCAAGTTTTGGAATGTCTAAATGCCAACTGTGGGTTGGACTCATTACTATGTGCCACTGAGTCAATTCTAACTCCTAAGCACCCTGGGGTACAGTGTAGAACTGCACTACGGGTTTCTCCCAGGCTGTCATTTTTGCCAAGTCAGATTGCCAGGTCTTTCCTCCAGTGTAGCAGCTGGTGGGTTCGCAGCTGAATGCTTATTTCGTTTACTGTAGCAATGAACTCCCCATAAGGAAGGCTGCCTTCCTACTAGAAGCAGATGCTGTCTGTCAATTTTACTCTGTTCTTCTGGTTAAAGACTGGCATTCAGCTGCAAATAATTTCACATCTTAAAGGCATATTAAGCAGAAGAAAGATAGCCCGAAAGAAGAAAGTCAACATTCTCTGTCTGCCACGAGCATCAGGGTTAACAGCAATCTGCAGCACAGCCTGGTAGATTCTTGCGGTGGGGAAGGAATGCAAGGCTGAGTGGGTCACAGGCTCCGCTTTAAGAAGCAGGCGGCCTCAGGTGCCTCTCTAGGTAATAAAGGACCTCAAAGGAAGACTCTTGACTCCTTCTCGGACTATCTTTTCGAATCTATTGGTCATAATTTTCACAGACACTAAACAAACCGACCCCCGAGCTTTCAGCCCTGATCCCATCAGGACTGGCAGGTACCTTCGGGTTAACTTTGGTAGCGGCCACGGTCAGGTTGTGGAGATCCTGGGGGTTGCAGTCGGTTTCGTTCATGCAGCAGCTGGGTGGGATGCCATGATCCAGGAAATATGGGCTAGTGCTCCAGTTGGTGTAGTTCTGCACGCCACAGCAGCTCAGCTATTAATAGGGCAAGAGACATAGTCAAAGAGTGGAGGGTCACAGGTATTGTGGTCATTTTAAAAGGAGAAACCCAGGTCACACCTTTAAGGCAATTTGCATAGGTCTGAAGAGTACAGAGGAAGTGACGCTACCTCCACTAACAACTCTACTCGCTGAGATGCCCACTGGGGCTCAGCGAAGCAACTTAGTTCTAGATTATACAGATCATGCAAGTTTTTGTGCCACCTCCACAAAGCAATGGTTCTCAGTTTTGACTGAGCACCGCCAAGACAAGACTGGTGTGCTCAGGGCTGTTAAGAGACACAGATGGCCAAATCAACTCTATCAGAATTGTTGATGGGGGTAGTAGGCAAGGCCAGTGTGGTTTTATAAGAGAACGAGAGAGAGGTGCACCTGAAGAGAGACGCGGGTGGTACTGGCAAACTACGGCCTATCTGATGCCTATTTTTGTAAATAAAGTATTATTGAGGAAACCACACCAGTTGGTTTATGCATCATCTATGGTTGTTTTCTGGCTATAGTGGCAAGGCTGAGTGGGTTGTAATAGAGACCAGATGGTCCTCAAAGCCTAAAATATTTACTAATGGGATCCTTACAAAAATGGGTTTGTAGACCCCCGAAATACAGAATACTAAAGCCCGCGGGGCAAAAATATTATCAAGTGGTTAATTTAGGTAAAAAATATACAGGGGTCACTTATACTATCCTTGAAACTCTTTACAGTGGGTTTGAAATGTTAGCGAAATAAATCATGAAATAAAAATACCAGCATTGCTTCGGCAGTTAAAAAGCACCACCACGATTCCCTCAGGTGATTCGGATGGGCAGTCAGGCTTGAGCACCTCCAGTCAGGACACATGTCATCTGTTTCTTTCAATTCTTCTGCAAGTGCTGGGCACCTTGGCCACTTCACATAGCTGACAGACCTCCTGCTCCTGCTATGTCCACTCTCCACTTCTACTACACCTACTTAAGTCAATGAGCCAGTGAACACAGGTCACCAAAGCTCTCTACCCAGCCCAAAGGCATCACTTCTAGATAGTCACGCTCTAAGCAAGGCCATGCACTTAGTGACCAATTCCTTTCGTAGCGTTCAGATGTTAAGGGCAAACTCATATTCTGTGATTCCTCACAATTATTACAGGTGAAAGACACCCCAGAGGGTGTGGTCGTTCTCGACACAAATCATCTGGAAAACCGGAGGCCAGTCAAGTATGGGATGTTCCCCCCCTGACCCCCTTGGAAATCTAACTAGATGCAGAGTTGGAGAACAGGAATGAAAAGCAAATGCCACTGGGTGCAACATGACCAGTAGCCTGCAAGTCTAAGCCCAGACCTCACAAGTCTTCCCACTCCAATCTCCTGCCCTGGAACTTACGCTGCGTTGCACATGATCCACTGCCCGGCTTCGCTCATCGTTCCCGTTGTAATTTTGCATGGCATCGGTGTAAGTCCTAAGGAAGGTGTCCTTGATCTATGGAAGACAAGGAGGAATGTGGTTCCAGTCCTCTGCACCCCAACTAACTTAGATTCATATTCCTGTCTACCTTCTTCTGAATCTCTAGGGACAACGGTAGGCCACTGAGGGAATATCCCATTTTCTAAGACAAAAGAACTAAGAATTCTCTAAGAAGTTTATTACGCTTAGAAAGGAAATTTTTAAAATGGCTCCCCTCACATTCTTCCCATTGGCTCCTTGGTTTCCGAAAAGACTGTGATGGTGCATTTCCCAAACCACAAGCCCAAATTTTCTCGTTATTTCTTTGAATTGATTAATGCCCATGCTTTTCCTGTATAACTTCTCTTACTCAGAGAAATGATAATGCGTAGACCAGCAGTTCTCAACCTATAGTTCGTGACCCCTTTGGGGGTTGAACGACCCTTTCAGAGGAGTCACAAGATTCATAACAGTAGCAAAATGACAGTTATGAAATAGCAATGAAAATAATGTTGTGGTTGGGGGTCACCACAACACGAGGAACCGTATTAAAGGGTCGCGGCATTAGGAAGATTGAGAACCACTGAGGCAGGGTTTGAGAGGGGGAGAGTTTGGAAGATCTGATGTTTTGAGCAGAAATCTATCACTATTCTACTATATGAATAACGCAAAATCAATTTTCACTCATCTCTATCAAAGCAAAAATAAACAAAGGAGACCGAAGAATGAGAGCTCTTTTATGTTCATAAAGGGCTAACAAGGTGCTTTTCTTCCTCTGTGAACACCTTTGATATTGGGCTAACTTTCAAGTTGTTCCCCTGGAAATCTGATGAAGCTGGAGTGTCAAGTGTCCTCCTAGGTACACGGCATATGGTCAAACTGACCACCAATGGGTGAAATGTTTCTGAACTGAGTGGACGACACTGACAATAATTCCCTGAGGGCACACTTAGAGCAACCGTTAACACATTACACATCAGTGGGTTCCCCACCTATAGCTGCCCCCACAACCCACTTTTATAGCACATTCTGGTTTTATTGCTGTTTAGGGGGAACAATAATCGATTAACAAGGCAGCACAATAATCCCTTTGGCTTGGCTTTGGCATCTCAGAACCCATCGGTGATACAGATAGACACGGGCACACTGCTGAAGCAGTTCTCTTAAAAGGGGTATGTGGCCCAGATGGAAGGTCACTGCTTAAAAACAGGCTGGAGCATCGTTTTATGAGCTCGCCAGAGAAAGAGAAAGGAAGATCCACAAGGAAGGGCTGCAAGTGGGCCGAAATGCTTGTGTTGTGTTTTTTATGGAGATTTCAGCCGATCATGTGTGACCCCTCGGAAAAGTGCAACACCACTGGGAGAAACGGTTTCCCCCACATGCCAAAGGGTTTCATGACCCTTTGCCCGAGCTCTCCAATTTTTGTCTACTCACCTCATGACGGAACACAAACCCGGATATGCCAGCTACCAGTTCGGCCAGGAACACCAGGGACAAAAACATGGCGTACTGCAAAGCAAATGGACAAGGACCAAGTCAGATATGTCAGCATCGGGAAGAGTGCCACTTCTCCAGGGCAAGGCTACTTCTGGGTCAGCGGTGGTTAGACAAACCCTCACACCGCCTAGAAACAAATGTAGGAAATCCATTCCTCCGTATTTATCCACATGAGCTTAAGTCTAGGACGGCGCCTAATATGTGTACATATGTCGGTGTGCACGTGCTGAGGAGATAGGCCTTGAGCCTGTCAGCTAGACTCAACCCTGAGATACCTGGAAGGGCCTTTCACAATGATGACATTGCCTACTCTTTAGAATTACAGTCTTTGAGCTATAAAATACTGTTGGAGACACCAGACACAGTTTTCTCCTTACTGCTTCCTAACAGCGGTCATCTAGTAAGGGTGGGTCCACTCCCTTAACCTGCTTACCCGCAGTATCCTATTCAGTTTCTAAACCATTCCAATGACTCAGAAGACTTTCTTTCCTTTGGCCACAAGTCTGACAATTTGCAACTTTGACTTTCTGGTGCTGCCTCCCTTTCCCCCGAAATACAAGGAACCAGCCCACCCTCTCTTCTATGCGGTGGGGGTGGGGGGGAGAGGGGCGCTTTCATATGTGTGAACAAAGCCATGCTATGTACCTATGCCCCATGAAAAAAACAAATTAAGTGTTAGAATCCTTGGTGACTTTGTCTCCTCTCCTTTGATACCTGGGGACAAAAGCCCAGGGAAGCTACAACCTTGACACTAAGTTGACTTAAGGTAGAATCTGCTTTCAGAACCAGCATCCTTTCCTTTCTTGGTTAGGAAGGGAAGGGTAGGGTGTTTTTGTTGCTTGGTTCAGGGCAATCTTTCTCTTCTGTGGCTCTGAAGTCAATGTGTCACTTGCTATTCATACTATGGAACAATAGGTTCTCAACTTTGGTTATACAATATGCTCCTCTGAGGGAGCTTTTACAAAATGTGAGGTCCGTGCCCCAATCAGAGACCTGGGCCTAATGGTTGAAGGTGAGACCTAAGAAGGGATTCTTTAAAAAGCTGTCCAGGTGATTCAAACGATGCTTCCTGGATTGAGGACCATGACGCTACATCAAAAGAAACTTTAGTGATAGTGAGACATACCAGAAGGTGGACTCAGGGTGCTAGGATTGAGTGAGTAGGTCACAGCAGCAATTGCTCAATAGAGCCTTGCTGTGTTTTTTTGCACCAACCCAGAAAAATCAGTGGTGGTCCGGGCATGAAGAAGGCGGAACTTGGCCAGCGAAAGCACCATACCCACGATAATAGTGCCAACAGAGAGATGATCAGTGGCCATTTGGGCGGATCATGCTTGTGGCTCAGCTCTGCCACCAGATGTTCCGGGTGTTGTTAACGGGGTTGGTGCTGAGGGAATCCTTGCTCTCCCTTTCTCAGAAGGAGAACATCTGAAATACATCCTTCTCAACTAAAATTTTCTTGGGAGGAGAGGTCCTTGCCAACTTTGAACTATAAAATTTATCAGCATGATTTCTCAGGAATGAAGAGCATGGGGAGTGAGTAGAGTATTAGGCAACTGGTGTATCGAAGAGTTTAAAAATCTGGTCTACCGAAAAAAAAATAACAGCATTTCAACTAAGTCTTCCCTTTCCCTTTGGGAAATATCACTGTCCTATTAGAGTAAAGGTACCCAGCGCAGGTTCTGGTTGTCAATTACTTGGCATAGCATCAACCCTCTGAGCAGGGACACTTATCTCAACACCCATGGGCTTTACAGTAGAGCAGGCACATGCATCGAAGCATGGATAGGCTCAAGGAGGCAGAAAGCATTTCTTTAACAACTTGGAACTGAGTGGCTGCTTATGTTCAAGATGCTGCGTTGCCCACCAAAGCTGCACTCAAGTGATCAGGACATTTCTCAGAGTTTCAAACTGGAACAGGAGATCCTGCCATGAGGTTACAAAAGCCCACTGGAATTACTGGCCACTGTTGTGCCAGCATCTACACCTGGAAGGCCCAAGACTGGATCACTTGTGCCAGGCTGGGGTTGCAGTGGTTTTTCTCTCCGAGGGATTAGAGGGTGGATTAAGTAAGAGTCTGGGTTAAAATCAAAGTGAATGAAATTGAACGTCTTGTCTAGGGCCTCAAGAAGAGCCACTTCACCTTTACATGATTTATATTCAAATGCAAGCCAATTAACAATAAAAGAGCAGCACTTATGTTGTGACTTACCAGCTTCAGCATCCATGGGCTGCCTCGGCAAGTTGCAAAACATCCAAACAGGCCAAAAATGACGATAGTGGTGCCGGTCCCAATCAGAACATAAGGAGCATTGGTGGAGTTCTCCGCAATGAGGGAAATATAGGTGCCGAGCGTGAGTTTTCCCCATACTCCAACAGCCAACAGGATCACTCCAGTGATCTGAAAGTGAGAAGCGTAGGGTGTGAACCCACTGCGGGGCTAGGCAAGAATGAACACAGAGCCATGGGATCTGGACCAGAGACTCAAGGGCCCATGAGAAACGTGGCACATGTTGCAGGAGTGCTGGAAGCAGCCTGGAAGAGACCATTGACTAAAACAATCACAGAGCACAGAGATCTTGATTTGGGGCAATTAGATCTAGCCCTTACACCAGCTCAGGGGCAGTTACCATGTCCAATGAAAGTCAAGCAAACAACGAAGAACTTTTAAATAATTTTTTTAAAGCAGCTTAAAGAGTCTGTCATAAGACAGGTCTCAGGACCCTCTCCCAGCTGCTTCACCAATACTGAGCTGAGTGTAATCACTGCAGAATATCTACCCGCTTCCTGATCCCCCCTCCCACCCAATAAAGAGCATAACCCCATCACTGTCTTTGGTAGCATGTGTATATTCCGTGTGTTTTGACAATACCCTGCATGATGTTTGAAGGAAGAAGGCGATCTGCTTTGCCAAGTATCAAAGCCTCTACAAAGGCAAACTACTGACAATGCCTGATTTCCCATTGATATGCAGTCTTATTTACACTAATAATTTATTGTGTAGTATGGCACACAAGAATTGGAATCATTCTTGGAATTAGCTGTAACGTGATTTGACAAAACCTGCTGCCTGGCCCTGAGGAATGTCTGAAGTCTAGAACATTGTGTGCTAGTCAAGTCTTCATGTCTGGGGGTAGACGCAGGGTCACAGGCTATGCCTTATTGGCAGCCCCTTGCAGGCTGCACACCGCAGCAGCTATATCCAGTGGTTAGTTGTGTGTCTCTAGTCATCTCCCCAGCTGGCCTCTCCTCCAAGTTACCAATAGCTTAGCAACTTGTTTGGATCAGAAAGCGTCCGAAGTGTCACCATTTCTAACACGATGGAGGTTTGAAAGAAGCTTGGGCAGCAGAGGAAGCACTTCTTTCGTTTTGCCCCATCTTTTCACCCTGTGCCCTCGACCAACCCCCTGGGATGTAGCTTGCCTACTCAAGTGAGGAAGATGGGACAGTGGCAAAAACAAGCCTATTACATCTCAATACCCACCTCCCCAAGGTTTTCCCTGTCAACGAACACATGGTTGCCTCAGTCTGTGTCAGTGAACACCAGAGAGTAATGCTATACAACACACTGAACAGCAGTGTCCCTGAAGACGTGTAGACCTCTTTCCTCTACTCTCTGAAAACCCGCCTCCACCGTTTGGAGCTATTCAGCTCCCTTTTCATGATCAGATTACTTCTGTGCGTAAGTGGAGGAGTGGACCACACGTCCTTCCCCAGACCAGGTGAAGGTGGAAGATGGGACCAGCGACTACAAGGGCTTGGTGATACACTCCTAATCCCCACTCTGGTAGCCCTTCTACTCTGTACAATCACTGCCATGAAAGACAGAATTAAAAGGGTCACATAAAAAAAAATCACGGAACTAGTGCCACTTTTATAAGGCAAGGGTGAATCCTTGTGGCATGGCTCTGAAGAGAAAGTGCTTGACACTGATACTTAGGAGAAGCTGGCCCAGAGGAAGCCTTGAAACTTAAAAGTTCCAATGGGGATGGGCTGTGACTAGCTGGAAAACCCAGAGGACGGAGGCTGCCAAGCATTCCAAGTCCTCTGCTGACACCTGGTGGTTTCCATAAAAAGTACTTTCTTTGAAAGCCTCTTCGGCCAAATCCAAATGGGGGGAAAAATACATGAAAGTGCTTCGTAGCCCCTAGAATCTAAACAATTAACTCATAAGGAATAATTCAATAAACACTACATAGATATAATATGGCAGGGCCTGAACTCTTATCATTCAATTTTGTCTTTTATCATTCAATCTTCAGGCACAAAGTAAAGGCTCTGTTTTCACTGACAACCATGCATTTCACGTCTTTGGGTCCTCACTCGGCTACTAACCGCACAGCTGGTGATTTTAAACCCTCCCAGACCAGACCAGATGGCCAGTTCCCCAAAAGATTACAACCTAAAACCTCAATGGGGCAATTCTGCTCTGTCGCATAGCGTCGCTATGAATGCCAGTGGACTCGATGGCACCTAATAGCTTCTATTTTATAAAACCGAACCTATCTAGGACCAAGTATTTCTAAAACATCTGTATCAGCTGAATACTGTGAGGTCACTTAAAATGGAACCCAAGAGAACACCTCCCCGCCATGCTTATCACTCTATTTCACCTATGTAAAGCTGTGAACATCACAATGTAAATATCTTGAAGAACAAAAATGCAGTTAAATGAGTCATTGTTTTGCCTCCAAAGATTCAGAAGCACTTCAGACATGGACTGAGCAGCTGCAGTCTATAATACTGGTCTTTCCAGTCAGCCTGGGCACACACTGGTTTTAAGGAAAACCGTCCTACTGAGCCTTGCCACTGTCTTGAATGCTCTCTTGTATTTCTGGGACCAGCGAATTAGTGCAGCTCAGTGATTACCATAACAAATAATGATATGCAGGATTTCAAAGGGACTACAAATTCTCACTTTAAGGTAAAGAGTAATAAGGACATTTTTAATCCCTTTTCTTTCTTCAAAACAAAAATTTAAGAAAATAAAACCAATTTTCTGCTATCCCCACTGGAGCCTGATCTGCAGAGAGGAGAAACAGGGCTGCCCAGAGGGATGTTCCTTGAGGTTTCCCTGCACATAGAAGACAGGCCTCATTAAACTGGTTCACATTCCTTCCTGCGTCAATGAAAATCGGCTCTGTGTTTGGGTCTGAGAGAATAAGGTACATAAGCCCCATTCCCGAAACCAGAATACTGTAAAACCTGAAAAAGCCAGAACTTTATGGAAGGTGGGAATCTGTCAGCGAAGGAAAATTAAAAATATTTTCCACTAAAAGAAAGGATAGAAAAGTGTTGGGCCTGCACACCAATGGCGGGAAACTTTGGAGACCTGGAGAAACTAAGCTGTCCTGTTGAATTCCAGTGCTCACGGGTTTCAGGTCTGTGAACATATATATGATCGCCATTCTACCAGTGGCCCAGGTTCATGTTTAGTGTATCATGCAACTTTAAAAAAGGACAATAGGAAATTGAGTTAGACACACATTCAACTCAAACTTGCTCCCATTATATAGATTCTGACGCACAGTGACACCAGAGGGCTGGGTAGAACTGTCCGCGTGAGTTTTCAGGAGTGTAACTCCTTACAGGAGTAGAAAGCCTAGTCTTTCTTCTGAGGAGCTCTGGGGCTTTGGAACTGTTGACCTTGAGGGTAGTGGTCTAATGAATAACCCAGTACACCACTAGGACTCCACAGATACACAAGCAAACTAGAAAAGACCCTTTCCAAAAAAGCCATATGGGATAGAAAGTAGAATATAGAAGGGAAAAAAACAGCCAAAAGAAATGCACGATAGGCAGAAATCTTGGCTAGATAGAATTTGAGGTGAAAGCTACAATTCAGTCATCATTTCAGAGGATGACAGATCAGTTCTCTCAAGGAGTACACACGGCAGTATTATGAAATGTTCCCCTGCTCCGGATCAGTTTGAACAGCCTCTGAGGTTCTGAGATTGTATCTGTTTACAGGAGCAGAAAGCCCCGGGTCTTTCTCCCATGGACCATCCGATGGTATCAAACTGCTGACCTTGTGGATGGCAGCCCAATTCATAACCAGCATACCACCTGGGCTTCTGGCACCAGAAAATCGAAGAAACCAGTAGCTTCTAGCATCTTATGGTCTTCTTTAAACTCTAGGAAGCAATCCTGAGAATTTGTCACGTTTATAATTTCAGATTTTATTATAAGTAATCTGTGTGTCTATTTAGTGTTTTAAAATAGATGAACAAATAAAAAAAAATAGACGAACACAAATGATATTGGAATTTGTCAGGTGAAATATGCACCCTGCAGGTATATTTAGGTGGGTGATAATTAGAAGGAGCCCTGGTGGCAAAGTAGGTTATGTGTAGGGCTGCTAACCACAAGGTCATCAGTTCAAACCCACCAGCCACCCCCAATGAATAAAGATGAGGCTTTCTAACTTCATTAAGAGTTAAACCTCTGAAATTCACAGGGACAGTTCTACTCTTCCATATCGACTTGCTATGCCTTGGAAAGGACTCGCTGGCAACGAGTTCTGTATTAGGAGTTAGAAGTTTGGGGTATTATTTGCAGCTTTAGTGAATTAGCTGTGTGACTTTGGGCAGGTCATCTAACCCATAGATTCCCAAACTTGGCTGATCATCGGAATCACCTGGGGATCTGGTGAAACTACAGCTGCCTGGGCTCCTCCCTCTAGATTGATTTATTAGGTTGCATTAGAGCCTAGGGATCTATAGCTGGACCAAATCCCAGGTGATTACAATGATCAGCCAAGTCCGGGAACCTAGGCTCTAGCCCAGGGGTCCTCAAACTTTTTAAACAGGGGGCCAGTTCACTGTCCCTCAGACCCGTTGGAGGGCCAGACTATAGTTAAAAAAAAAACTATGAACAAATTCCCCTATGCACACTGCACATATCTTATTTTGAAGTAAAAAAACAACAAACGGGGGCAAAACCCCCCGGCAGGCTGGATAATTGTCCTCGGCGGGCCGCATGTGGCCCGCGGACCGTAGTTTGAGGATACCTGCAGCCTTTATGGGCTTCAGGAATGCTTCAATATGAACTCCAGGGGAGGGCTGATGCCAGAAGCAACATGTCAGGGATCAGCATGTCTCAGGAACAGAAGCAGAGGGGAGGGAAACTGAGAGCTCTGGCTGGAGGAAGACAGCTACTAATTCAAGGACAACACTGGAAGGCAAGATGAAGAACAGTGTGGGGAAACCAGACAGAGTGGACAAGTCTGTGAAAGTAGCTGCCCATAGAAGAAGAAAGAATCATGACAGATAGAGGCTGTTTTTATCCTCCAAAGACTGATGGGAAACCAAACTCCAAGACAGTCCATTGATCCCAGGTATGCCAATGACCGGACAGGGCGCTCTTTTCATTTCTTACGAGTCTAGTGCAGCTGAGTAAAGA